TGTTGCAAGCATCTCTCCTGCACAGTGGGAAGTTTTTCCAGGCAAGGAAACTATTTGTAAAAGTTGGGAGAGTGATGGACATGAATCAAATGACAGAGAGGAGTTCAAAGATAAATGTTGTTGCAGAATTGTCTCAAAGATACTATTTATTACAGGTACTTATATAGCATCATTAATTTACGCAGCGCTATTTACATACAGTATAATGTACATTCGCATCCATTCCTTCCCTCAAGGAATTTGCAGTCTATGGTCCCTAACTCACATTCCAACATACACATATTAGTGTCAATGTAGAAAGAAGCCAATTAACCTACCAGCATGTCTTTGTAATGTGGGAGGAAACCGGAGTAACCCCACGCAGGCACAGGGAGAACATGCAAACTCCGTTCAGTTAGTGCTGTGGTTGGGATTTGAACTGACAACCATATGCTGAAGTGCTAAATACTTAGTCACTGTGCTTCCCCATGCACAAAAGTTACATGTGGGACACAATCAACAATTTGCTCAGACGTGGTGGAGGTCTTATTTCCCTCCACTTTCTTTATCATTGATATGCCAGTATTTCTTTATGAATATGTGCCATACAGTAACAGTATCACAAATAAGAACTACTTGAACTTTTCGCACACTTCAGAACTACAAATGAAAATGTTGCAGTGTTTTCATAATTCTGGTGCAAGGCTGACGGCCACATACACACTGCCAAAAATGTGTCATAAATGCCTTGTTGAATACTTGAATAACCCCCCAGCCCCAGCACCATTATTTTTACCTAGAAATTTCATAGTGTTTGCCATAAAAAAAAATGTAGTTGTTAAAAACATCTGCTTATTAAGCATTTTACATTTTCCACTACTGTATATAAATGGACAGGGTTTGGCTATAGCCAAATATGATGTCATGCCATAAAAATCAAATTGCAGGTCCTGTAAAATTGTGAACTAGTTTTCATGTTCCAGAAAGTAAGCCCTACCTATTATCTACGTGATAGATTGGGTGTGTCGAGAATTCAACAAGTTTATGAAAATCCACTTTCAATAACAATTGCCCATCTTATGATAGCACTTATTCCCATTCTTCACGAATCAGATTTGTTTCATATATGAAAGTAAGTAGCTGCCAATAAACACTGAAGCCATTGTTTGACAAGCAGAACACATTCCAAATGAACATAACTTAGCATGACCAATAAAAAAATAATTAGTTTATTCATTTATTTTGTACTTAAATCTTACAGCTTTTCACCATAATTCAGCCAAATATTCTGCTGCTACGGCCAATTCACTTTGTTACAAAGACATTGGACATGTAATCATTTAATTAAAAGGAATAACACTACCCTGGCAGCACTGCCAGAAGCCTCCTCCTCTGCTCTCAGTATGAACACTACATGTAAATGGAATGCTACTGGAAACTGCTAACTGGAAATCAATATAATACATTATCACTGCAGCCTAACACAGATTTACGTCATTGTGAGGACTAGGGGTTCCTTAAGCCTTCATGGATGGTGTTAATTTAATCATTTATTAAATTCATTTCATTTGGTTTTTACAAATATTTTGTCAGGTATAACGGTGTCTCATCCTGTTGATTGCAATAATTAGAAGAAGAGGGCACCAAGCCATGGGAATACGGGGTTAAAGTAGAGGTTTGGATAAGGTGTGCCCAACATGTGGCTGGCAGACGTTTGGGCACCAGTCACACTGCAGGGTGGTAGTGGGGTGCTGGGCACTGAAATGCTGTGCTCCAGGACTCAGGACTGAAAGGGGGATTGTACTGTTGGCAAAGTTATTTCCACTCAAAGTACAAGTCAAGTCCTAGCCTGGGGAGAGACAGAATGGCCCGGGGAACTTGTGATGGGTAAGTGATCAACAATGGGGCAGGGTTTAATACTTCCACTGACAGTGCAAGGGGGAGAGTAAAACTTTCACTGCCATGACCACCAATACGGGGGATTAACATTTGCACTGCCATGACCACCAATACAGGGGGTGTGAGGTTAACACTTTATATGACATGACTACCAATAAGGAGAGGGGGGAATCACATGTTCACTTCCATGACCACCAACATTGAGGGGGAAGGAGGGGGGGGGGCAGCGAGGTTAACTTTCACTGCCATGACAACCAATGTGGCAGGGGGATAACTTTTACTGCCACTAATCAATGCAGGGTTCATTTCACTGTCAATGACCGCCAATGCAGGGTGAGGCTAGATTTCATGGTCACAGACCACCAATGCAGGGGGGGAATGGGTGTTGACTTTCATTGCAACTGACAACCAATGTGTGTTAATATTAACAGTATTGACACCAATGCTGGGGGTTACTATTGTGACCACTGACACCAATGATGGGGGTTTCGTTTTCTTTTTGATACTTAGAATTCCCCAGTGGTCACCAGTACAAGTAGAGGGCCGCAGACCCACTCCAAGAACGGATCGCTACTCACCACCCAGGCTACCTGTAGTGATAGCACCCACTAGGACCACATAAGGGGACCTCTAGAGGAGAAAGACCACTTACCTAGGATCCGATAGAGGGGAGACCGCCCACCACCTGGCAGCAGGATAATTATACATAAAGCGCATTTAATATGCGCGTCCGGTGAGTGCGCATTTCATTACCACCTCTACACGGATATCAAAGTCACCTCAACTATTTATGTTTATTTACGGGACTACCCAATATATAATTTTCTGATTTACCAGGGACTTTTGCATATAAATTGTTGCTTACTAGTGCTGCACTTTTCATATATATATATATTGTCTATTCCATAGGTCATTGGTACCTATCTTGTGCATAGCAGCTTGTTGTTTTTTACTAAGGCGCTTTTTACCATTTCATGTACATCAATGATGGGGGTTACTGTACTCCAACCTCTTCAGTGTGCAATTGCAATACACTGCAAAAAATGCAGCAGAACCAAAGTTTTGGGGCATGGAGCAGCCCTCTGGAAGTGTCGGGGCCACATTTTTGCTGTGTCCCATTTTTTTTTCCACTTCTGTATGCAGATTTGAGCCGATACATACAGAAAGGAACAGATAAATGGCCCTGGATGCAAACTATATTAAATCAGGGTCACTCATCTGTCCCTGTACAGGTGTAACAGCTTAGATCTATGGTTACTTAGACAAAACCACTGTCATTTACAGGCTGCTGGCTCTGACTGTATGAAAACACCCGTGACTCCTATAATACATGCTCATTATAGAGGTTACAAAATCTCATCACTTATTTGATAGAAAAACTATTACATCCTCCCAAAAGCTGCAATCTATGTTTTGATTTCAAAACTCGTGGAGCATCCACAAGTTGAGGCTCCATGCGCACAGGGTTTGAAAAAACGCCTGTTCGCTTGACAGAAAAAAAATGCTTGTATAGAGCTTTTTTTTGCAATATTTAGGCACGTTTAGGAGTGTTTAGCATTTTTTCTGCTAGAAAAATCCAATCAAAAATACAAACCAGAAGGGTTTTTTTGCATCTTAACGCTGAGCTTAAAGTGGTTGTAAAGGCTGAAGGTTTTTTTACCTTCATGCATTCTATGCATGAAGGTAAAAAACCTTCTCTGTGCAGCATCCCCCACCCCCTCAATACTTACCTGAGCCACATCGCAATCCAGCAATGTGAATACCAGCCTCGGCTGTCACGGGTCTCTGCCTCCTCATTGGTTGAGACAGCAAGCGGGAGCCATTGGCTCCTGATGCTGTCAATCACAGCCAGTCAGCTAATGAGGAGAAAGGGGGCAGGGCAAAGCCAAGGCTCTGTGTGTGAATGGACACACGGAGCAGCTGGTGTCCCCATAGCAAGCTGCTTGCTTTGGGGGCACCCGACAGACAGGAGTAGCCAGGAGAGCCTGCAGGGTACCTGAGAAGAGCAGGATCCAGGCTGCTCTGTGCAAAACCACTGCACACAGCATGTTTGTTATTTTACACACAAAAAGTTAACCTTTAGAATCACTTTAAAATATGCCTCTAATCATCCTAATGTGCATGGACACATAGGACAACAGTGAGTTGCATCTACAGGCAAAACACAATACTCCTGTAGAAGCTGAGTTTTTTAACCCAGTGTGCATGGAGCCTAAAAGCCACAATGCAAACAAGATGCATCTTCAGTCTGCTGCAGAACTGCACAAGCTGGACTAACACAGGACTTTATTTCTACTTACAACCTTCTACTAGGCAAGGAAAGTGTTTCTCTGAAAAACCAGGGTAAAGGGAATAAACATTTTACAGATGATTCCACAATAATTTGACAATCACCCAAAAGGTGTAATACATAAAACAACACACAGTTCAACATGCTGTTCATATGAGACACCAAAAATAGACTGGGGCAAATGGCACAACACTGTATAAGTTACAGTATGTCTGAATGTATTTGCAAATAAAGCCTGAAGCTATGCAGTCTACGGTCCCAAACAACACTTTGTTTAAAAGAGAAGTAGAGCCAAAGCTCTTTTGGCTGCACTTCTCCTGTGGATCACCGGAGTGCAGTTTGTTCTGCACTTCTGTGACCTGTTTTCAGTCGACAGCGGGCTGAAGCAATCTGTCAGCTGATGTCACTCAGCCGGTCCAGGTTGGGAAAGATCCCGTCTTCAAAGTCTGGATCCACTCTAAACTCTGGAGTGGCACCTGTCTCAGCCTCTCAACGAGCCGCTGAGAGCCTGGGCCAGCCGCTCCCACCCCCTCCACCGCCCAGTGCTCCAGTAACTGACAGTCACCCCTCTCTGCTCAGAGCGGGAGTGATCAGCGGTCATGTGATCGCAGAGTTCTCACACCTAGAGCCGGCGGGGGACAGATGCAACATTGGACCGATGCTGCATCCACCTAGGTAAGTATAAACGGGTGAAAAAAATCCACACTTCTCTTTAAAGCAAATATGAGTATGTTAAATTCAGTCAGACTGACTACACCAAATAAAAAAGAATGATTAACCTAACAACTGTTGTCTGCAAAGAAAATGAAGTAAAAACATGAAAAAGGCATACCTGGTTTTCTATGGCTTTTCTATTTTTTGGATCATTCACAATAGAGAGCTGCAGCTCTGCCATCTTCTTCATTTTGCTGTCCATATCAACCTTTTGCATTAGACTTTTGGTCTGACTTTTAAGAAGTCGGACAGTATCTTCTTTCCCATGCTTCTTTGCAAAGAGTGATGCACAGGCAGAGTGAATTGCAGTAACCCAGTTCTCTAAATCAGTTTGACTAGTGGCCTGTAACACAAAAGAATTATACGTTTCCTACATTTAAATGGTATTTCCACTTTTTGCAGTCAGTACTAAGAAAACCCCATTAAATGTTTATGTGTTCTCATTCATACAACATAACTTAAATCTAAAAAATAAAATACATTTCCTATTTTTCTGTGGGTTTGTGTGGAGCAGGCTGCAGACAGACTGAAAGCTACTCCAAATAATTTGTAATGAGAGGAAACGTAATCTATCCCCAAAGACAAAGAAGGACACGCTGTCATCCATACATGGGTTGAAATTCAGCTGGTACCTGCAGAATTTTGATCTATGTATGGGAAGGGTGGTTGTACACAAGTCGATCTATCAATCGACTTGTGTACAACCAGCCCGTAGGGTTTTGCAGAACAATTAATGCTGCTATAGCCGGCAACACTGATTGTTGTATTCTGACATCCGAGAAATTTCCCCACTGTCAGAAAATTTTCCACTTTTTGCAGTCAATACTAAGAAAACCCCATTAAATGTTTGTGTTCTCATTCACACAACATAACTACAATATAAAAAATAAAAAATATTTCTACCTTTCTGTGGGTTTGTGTGGAGCAGGCTGCAAACAGACTGAAAGCTACTCCGAATAATTTGTAATGAGAGGAAACGCAATCTATCCCCAAAGACAAAGGGGGACAAGCTGTCATCCATACATGGGTCGGAATTCAGCCGCTACCTGCTGAATTTTGCTCCATGTATTGGCAGAGTGGTTGTACACAAGTTGATCTATCGATCGACTTGTGTACAACCAGCCTGTAGAGTTTTTGCAGAATGATTAATGCTGCTATAGCCGGCAACACTGATCGTTGTATTCTGACATCCAAGAAATTTCCCCACTGTCAGAATACAATAGCTCAGTGGGAAGGATTCCCCTATCCACATTGAATGTGTGGATGGGGTAATCAGCTCTTTCTTTTTTTTTTTTGTTCAACCCGCTGGCTGAATAAAAAAATATGAATCATGCATGGCCGGCTTTACTTTTTGTTAGGTGAAAGATCTAGATGCAGATAGTGTTCAAATCTAGTTTACAAATAATAATGAGATCTGCCAATCACAGTACAGACAGGGTTAATTATGGTAGTCATTAGCTACCCAGTCCAATTTGCATAGCAGTGGAGAACTTCAGTTTGGAGTTTTCAGGAAACAGCAAGTAAAATGTCAGAAACGTTTTTTTTTATTCTATGTTAATGGAAACATGTAACACATATAAAGTAGGTGCTATCCGATATTTGAGGCAAAAATGGAAATACACTTTAATGGGGCTGACAGATGAAAAGTGTGCTAAAAGAAAAACGTGTTGTTTCCCAAAAGATGACTGGTTGCTACAAGCATTATTTCTTATACCACACTTTTTATAAATCTGACCCATTGAGTCTTATCTAATCCTCCCAGGTTAACCAATCATACTCTATGATAACTGTCACAAAAATTCAGTCAAAGATATAAATGGTTGACATGGCATGGATTAGCATGGTGGTGAAATATATTACAAAAGACACTTCGGCCATAGGCTGATGTTGGATGGACGAGTCTGCCACTAGCAATCCTGTAAATGCCAATTTGTCGAAATCACCAGCAGCTGCCTTTTCTGTTTCTGTGGAATCCTTCCAGCTGTTGCTAGGGCAGTGAGATGTCACTCCAATCACTAGTGTTTGAGATTCAGCAGCCTTCAGGCCAACAATAGTGTATCACCTCACTGCATACGGCTACAACAGGAGTGATTCCATAGGGAAATACAGGCAGCTTCTCTGGCGATCCTGTCTCTGGCAATTTATCTCCAGCAGCAAAATTGCTTGTCTGACATCAGCCTAAAGCAAGCCACAGATGATTCAAATTTCTTTCAATCAAGGGTTGCAGGAAAGAAAATCGCTCAATTCCCCTTCAACACATTGAGAGTTGATGAGGGAATCCCTCCCGCAGCGCTATTGTGCTCTGCCAGTGGGGAGCCTAGAACACATTGATTACTGCTGACAGTTAAGGCAGCCGACAGTAATCGCATGCAAAAAATCTGACAGGTAGGTTATACTGAAGTCGATCCATTGGTCGACTTTTTAGTGCAACCTGCCTGCCCATACATGGATCAAATCTCAGCTGGTCCCTGCTGAACCAGCCGAGATTTGACCCATCTATGGTCAGCTTTAGAAGGTATCAGGAAATATAAAAACATATTAATGTTAGGAAGAAAATTATTGCTCGACTAACCTGAAAGAGATACACATCTCCAAAGGAGTTGCTGAGACAAAAAACATTTTCCTTTTTTGGATGCTCAGGAACTGATTGTACTATGCTGTCTTCTGCAAACAGGGCATATCTGGGGGAGGTATTCTGCTCCATAGAGTTCCCTTCATAGGTCTCATAGAACATCAGAGTGCAACCTTCACACATACAGAGAAAAGGGGTTAAGACGTTGCCTTACATTAAAAAGGAAATACAATAAACATTTCACAAAACGTTTCAGTAAGATGTGGCAGTGTTAGATGAACTTGTCATCAGAAAACTGTCACCATTTTGAATATCGTCCTAAAAAATGCTAGTCCCTGGCTGTCATACTGCTTTTCCAGCATGCCTGATTACAGTCTGCTGACTACATACCTGTTCTGGGTCAGTAACTTTATAGAGAAGCCGATGGATCAGAATGACAGAAAGGCAATCAGCAATTTCAGTAACGGTATTCTCTTTAAAAAAATTTCCTTTAACCTCCCTAGCAGTCTGATTATGTCAGTAATTCTGTGCTCAAAGTGGTACATTTTTTATTGTAGGCCTGTAATTCTTAGGAATAACTCACTTAGGAAAAAATCTGTCCAAACAAGAGTCTGGTAAACATCCAGGGTATGCTTAAATTTGAAACACAAAATCATAAATTATAATTTAATAATAATCATAAAAAATAATAATATAATAATAATACATGTAATTCAATAATGTAATCAAACCAAAAACACTGAAATTTGAAATAGAGCGCCAAGTTCGCACATCACTGAGTTTTCAGTGTCTGATGACGAATTTCTCCACGAATCATTATCACTCAATTCTGCAAGTGGTTCTAATTTACTATCGCTGTTCTCTAGCTGATCTAAAATCGCTTTTGACCTAAAGGGACGCTTCTTGGACGCCATGGACATTTCTCAGTTTTCAGGCAGAAAGAACAGTCAAAATGCAGGCAGGTCACAGGACAAAGCACTAGGAACAAAATGTATGTGAAATGGTTTGATACAGTAATGGTATACTATGAGATTTTAGTGTATTGAGTGAATGTCACTTTTTAAATTTTTTAATTTCCCGCCTGTTCCGTCCCCCGTACGTCCCGTACGTCCCGACGCTCGCAGGGAATGGAACCCAGAAGACGGGTGCCGGCATCAGCCGGAGGAGATGGCGGGGGACGCTGCAGGGGGGACATCGCGGGAGCGCAGGACAAGGTAAGTGCTGGAGGGAATCCCTGAGCAATGCTGCAGGGCAATCCTAAGTGTAGCTCAGGGTTACTGCCTCTGGTACTGAAAGTTAACCCTGAGACACTCGGGAATACCGCCAGGGGGCTTAAAGATCCTATACACAATAAACAAATCATTGTATTATGTGTAGTGAGCATTAGGCCCCTTTCACATGCGCTGGATCTGGTTTTGCTCAGCATGAAATCGGTCCGCTCATCCCCTGCTGAACTGATAGGAGCCTATGCCACTTATGCAGAGTGGACATAGACACAGCCCGCTCTCTTCTATGTCCAGGTGGGAAATACATCTCTAGCTCTTTCACTAGCGGGAGGCGCCAGGCTTGACAGCACTTCTGCTGTGTAGTGGACCAAGCTATTGCTATGACCACAAGACCGGAAGTGATGTAGTTTGTTACCAGAAGTGCAAGTTGGAACACATTTCCGGCTGGGACTTCTGGTCACGGCAGCAGCGACATTCCATGCAGCTTAGTCCACAGTAATCTATCCCTTGTCATGCTTCTTCTTTCCAACACTGGCCACTAACATACCAGTCATGATTGTGTTAAATATTGTGTATGGGGGACATGAGCAAGTGCTCCAAGAGAAGTATAGCAGCACAATCTATCATGAGTACATGTGAATATTCATACAATGCAACTTCTGGGGTACAGTGTTATGATATTGCCACATACATATAAGTCGATGGTTTTCTATATAAGGATGTATGTAATATTTAGTGAAATGCTTTTCATGCGTGACCTTTTTAGGAAATGGTTCTATTATTTTAGTAAATTGTCCTGTCCCTTGCTTGTGGCATGGAGTCTCTGGCTATCATGTCATGGAGAATAGAGGATTTAAGGTGATGGAGGGATCCTGATCTTCTGTCTCTGAGAAAGAGGGTAGCACTTGAAAAACGCATAAACCATTTTCAGGTTCCTGGATGGTGTCCCATTGGCATCTTAGGGTTAAACTGAGTCTCATCTACCACTGTACCAAAAAGCTATAACCTGATATGTGTTTTTTACATATTGTTTGTATGTTTTTATCATTATCTTATTAAACTTGCCTTGGGGTAATGAACTAGGCTGGTGCGCTCTCTGTTTGTCTTTTTGCAGTTATGCTGGGATGATGCCTGTAGCTGTATTATTTTTTAGGGCCTGCAGAGCATTTTTTGTAAAAGCAATCCTAGTGGCTAAATAGCGGACCTGTCACTGCCTATTGGTATCACAAGAGATGTGTACATTCCTTGTGATAACAATAAAAGACATCAAAACCATTAAATGGACAGCATATACATACTTGTTCCTGTGAAATATTTGACATTTCTTTCTTTATTTCCACTATCACTCAATAATTGAATATCTATACTTGTCTTTAGCTGAAAAAATGATTCACAATCCGAAGAAACAATTTTAAAGGCATTGAAAAGGGCATTGGAAAAATGGTAGGTTGTTGCAGATATATGAAAACCTTACCTTTTAATGTAACCCAGTAATGCTTCCATTTTCTGCGGTTTACCAGCTCCAATTTTTTCTCCTTCTGAAGTGTGATGAGAGGCTTAAAGAAGAGCCATCCAGCTTTGCGAACAACCCCTTGCTCCTTTTCAAACAGCAGGTCAAGTTGTTCCAAAGAGCTTAGTGAGTCGCTGCTTGAGTCCTCTGTACCTGACAGGGTAGCAGTTTCTTCAACATTGCTTCGATCTAAATCTAGCTCCCTCATGAAATTTTCATAGATGTTTTGTCTAAGCACGTCGCTGCTAATTGCACTGGTCTGCTTACTCCTGTGTGATATAACCTGTCCTGAGCCACCAGACCAAACCGTACTGGAGAGATATGGAGGAGAGCTTGTCTCAGCTGTAAAAGCATCAATGCCACTGTCAAAGCAATCACTTCTCTCCTCTTTAGATTTTGGTTCCTGAAGAATAAAGGGAGAATCACATATTAGGATCACCTATATCATGACCAAGGGCATCAACTCATGAACATTGTACCTTTAATAGATTAGCAACACAATTACATAGTTTAGTAAACAAAATATATGAGTGATAAGCGTACAAACTAAAAAAAAAAATAATAAAAAAATCTCATCCACCTTCCTAATTTTACTATCAGGCTACATGGACTACTGAAACATAAAAATATGCCTCATGGCCTCAATAGATCCATGACCTATGTCCAGCCAGAACTATTTCATAGTTTTGGATAGACTTGGGAAGAACACCTGTCAGATTTTAACACTATTCACAGCTCCAAACAGCAATAACAGATAGATTTACCCCTAACTTTCACTAGGTAGGAAGTGAGGGTAGCTCTCCAACAGCAACACAGATAATTATTTTTATTTATTTCAGGTGCTTATTTAGTGCCTTCAATTTACACAGTGCTTTACATATATATTGTACATTCATCAGCCCATGCCCTCTAGGGGCTTACAAACTAAGGTCCTTAACTCACGGTCATACATACACATACTAGGGCTAATTTAGACAGGAGCCAATCAACCTACCAGCATGTATGTGGAGTGTGGGAGAAACGTCATGCAGGCACAGGGAGAACATGCAAACTCTAGGCAAGTTATGCCATGGTTCAAACCAACAATCCTACTTCTGCTAAACAGTAATGCCAACCACTTAGCCACTGTGTTTCTTTAGTCAATTTTTATTTCTGTCCATATCTCTGTTGCAGATATTCCAGTCTGGTTGAACCACTTAAAGCAAGACAGTAACAGAGGGTAAATCAGTCCAACTAAGTCCCAGATAGCAGTTAAAACAGGAGTCCAAAACTAAAAACATATTTTGGATTGACATACACTTTAGAGTCAAAGTGTCACATAATTATCTAATCCAGTGCTAGGAGCCTTTAGATGGCAATGCCCTGTTGCCTTCTAATGGCTGATATCCGAGAATCATATAAATATGTGACACTTCAGTCCCACAATAATACCATACGGTACTATGGAACCCACCTGCAACTTTCTTTTCTTCCTTGACAGGCTACCCGTCCAGTCACTAATACGCCTCATTCGGTTTTTCAGTGTCTCTTTTTTAGAGGCTTCTTCAGTTAAGGGCCTTGATTTTCTGCATGGCAGCGTGTAAGAGGAATACTGGGTTGGTGCTCTGTGTTCGACTCTTGATGCAACATCAATATCAGACGCAAAAGAAACCCTATTACTTAAGGTATGACCAGAACTTATGTATTCATCTGAGAGTCGACCTTGAGCTAAACCACCACCTAAATCCGAGTTATATAATTCACGAAGTGAAGAGAGCGAAGATGTCTGATTGAAGAGTACACCGCTCTCATTTGGAACAAGAGCACCACGTACACTAGTGTCCAATGAAGTCCTGGTCAAGTATGAGCTATCCAAGTCATTAATGTCCCTATTGTTTCCCCAGGGACAGTCGTACCATGAAGAGTCAGAACTCAGCGAACTCCCTTTGCTTGATCTTAGACCAGAGTCACTTGCTGACAACCCCCGGCTTGCTGTAAATTCCATACCAGAGTTTCTACAAGGATCATTCTTAAGCATGTCCTTTGTCTCCATTGCAGGAGAGTACCTGAGCAACTGAACTGGTCCGTCAGAGTCATCCGATGGCATACCGTTTCCTGAATTGTTGTGGAATTCAACTCTCAGACAGCCATCCAGCTTTCCAAGTGTTTTGATCAAAACTTTTGGACTTTTCCTTTCTTCCGCTTGCAGTGCCAATGACATGCTGTCATGAATGTCATAACAGCTTAAAATATGTCCATTACAACCTCTATAGTCCTCAGGGGTGTCAATGCCAACATAATGATACCCATTATCTGGCATATATGTGTTGTTATTTGCCTGGCAATAGTCCCCGCACAAACCAGATCTCTGTTTAAGATGGCCACAACTTTTAGATGTCTTTAGAACTACGTCCCCATGTTTTGATGAATACGGAGGGTTGCTTTTGCATTGAGACAGACAATTTCTTGCAAGGGAACGAGACTTGTAGCTAGCGCTGCTGTTGGTCCGTGCCCACCTAGGAGAGGTCCAAGGTTTCTCCTCTTTACTGTGGCCGCTGTGGATTTTCAAAGAACAACTTTTTTGCTTGACATCTGACATAGAATTACTGCCTTGGCTTTGTGTTCCTTGAACACTGTACTGACTTTCGGAGTTCCCCATTCTCTGTAAAATAAGAAATTGTTGCAACACCCATGTTAGTAATAATACGATGATAACACAGGAAACAGATGTACTTTCACCATAATATCACTTTTAAGATAACTTATAAAGAAAATACATCTGCAGTTGTGCTTTAGTCAGTGTAAAGGCCAACTCTAACCAAAACTGTTATTTAAAAATTCAGCATTTGCTGTTATCAGTCATATCTAATATCTGATATCCCCACTATAATTCCCCATTTCCCAAGGTAATGCAAAGCAAAATGATAGAGCTGAATTCTCCAGTTGAATTCTCATAACATGTGAAGCTGGAGAACCGTTCAGAACACAACTTTGTTTTGGATGCTTTATCTGTTTTGGATAAAATTGGCCTTAAGCATCCTCTACCCCCATGTGCCCAGTGCATATGAAAACATTAACCATGACCACAAAAGCACATTATGAAATGACAAAGTGACAAGACTCTCCTGGGTGAAGACTTTACCCGTATTTTTGTAATAAACCTTTTAAAATAACCATAGAACATCCTCCTGAACTTTTACTTTAGGTTGAGAACTGTGAGAACTCAACAAGATGCTCCTGTTAAAAAGAACGCTTCCCAATGCATACTATTAAGACTGGATGAAGACAACAAGACAGTTTTATCTGTGGTAATAAAAAATAAATGTAAAGCTAAACATACATAGCATGATATTCTGTCATGGGGTCTGGTATCTGTCTTTTTTCCAAATAGCAGCCAAGAACCATATATTTACGGTATAATACTGCTCTTTAATTTAATTTAATACTCTTTAATTGCACAAAATGTATTACATACAAAGTAATTGGCCATACACAACAGATCACCACATGACCAAAGATTTGACATCTCTTGGGTATTTTCAGTTTGGGAAAAAAGATGTCTCAAGTATAACTTAGCTATCATGTTCAAATATATTCAAAGCCAGTATACAGATTTGGCAAGTTAACTTTGGTATAAAGGACAAGGGGACATCAGTCTCCTATAGACAAAAGAATTTTCCATCAGTTTAAGAAAAGGGTTCTTTACAGTAAGAGTGGTAAAGCAGTAGAATGTCTTACCTTATGAGGTAATAGTGAAAACAAAAACAATAGTATTTCAAAAAGGACTGACTTTGAGTATCCAGAATTATAATTCCTAAAGTTTAATAAATAATACATAAAATACTTTAATTCAAGAAATTAAGCTGACTGATTTTAGAAGGTCAGGAAAGAAATTCAAGAAATTAAGCTGACTGATTTTAGAAGGTCAGGAAAGAATTTTTACCTCCTCACCCAGGGTGATTTGTTTTTCTTTCCTCTGGACCAAAACTGGGAGAGATTAAATTGGATGGAGATCAGACTTTTCTCAACCTAGGTAACAAAGTATCTGAAAAATCTTGCTATACTTAAACAAATCTCCTCTTGAGTGCTCTCTGCAATCTTTCTGAATACAATCTCTGATATTAATGCTCAAGCTAGCCAAAAACATGCTTGCTTTGTATGCAGAAGATACACTGTACATAAACGATACCATGGGATTCTACTTTTCCAAATCTAAAAATGTGAAAGTACATTTTTGAAGATGAAATTTAATCTTAAATGATGATTCCACTCAATCATTCTAATGGAGGAGGATGAGGTGGATCTGGAGGGTTAACATCAATCACCTCCTTTCCTTTGTTACCACAATGCTCCATTGTAAAGGTCCTGCGAAAAACACTTCCAGTTCTAATCCTCCAACTTCTCTACTTGGGTGTTGTAAATTCCCCACAGACTTGCAGGCAGAACAGCTGGAGGAGGACAGAAAACACATGCAGAATTAGGCTGACCATGCACGGCCCTAGAAAAGCAAGTGATGAGACCGATGCGAGCACTGGTTGCAACAATCAGTCCATGTGCAGTAACGAGCGCTTCCAGTGGTTGTGAGCAGTGCTTACTGCACCATCTGCATCCGTCTGCCATCCAAATCAGGAAAATAGCTGTGGATCCCACGTGTGCACGTTATTTGATGATAGGCAAATGTCTCATTGCCCATTCTAGACTAGCCATCTGTCACCTAAGAGCTGCCTTAGGGTTCGTGTAGGTGGACTTTGTTTTACTGCATTTGACATCTGTTTGAAGTTTAAATGCATGTCTAGTTACTTTTAAGGTGAGGTGTGAATGACCTTTCCAAGGCTGTATTTGACCTGCTTTCTTTGGACACAGCAGGTCCTATTGAGATCTGTTCACACTGTTCAGAAAGATGGTCATAGACCACACTGTATTTTGCATTCATCCACATGCCTTTGAAAAGATCTGTGTCTGAATGCAAAACAAAGCATACATCAACAAAGCCAGTCTACACAAGCCCTTAAAGTGTAACTAAGACAAAAAGCAATAACAATAGTACAGTCATAAAAGTGTCCTTCCACTTCACTTAGTGATCCTGCCAGTAACATGCTTCATGTCCTAGGATGACAATGCTCACTCATCGTACTCCATCTATAGAGAAGCAACGTTGTCACCCCAGAACAGAACTACAGTACACATCTCTTTTCTTTTTCATAACATGGAGAGGTGTTCTGTAGTCCTCACAGAGAACTGGAAACAGTGCTTACTGATAAAGGTGCAGCAAAAACACATTTTGAAATAATTAAAAGATAAAACATAACAAATTCAATGGCATATTTAACAGATAAAAAGGGAATCAATAAGCAAAGTTGATTGCTGGGGTTTACACACCCTTTAAAGCACTCTTTCTCAACTTTTTTACCCCAGAGGAACCCCTCAAATAATTTTTTGTCTTGGGAAACAGTTATCAAAACAATTCACTGAGAATCCATAGAGAAAATGCCCCCTACATTGGTGGTCAGTAGTAAGAATACCACCCTTACAGTGATAGTCAGAATGACAAACTTACAGACAGCTAAAAAGATAACTGGGTCATGCAGCTGGTTTTGCCAAGTAGAGTTGGTCCAAGACACCATCAGATGAGAGGTCACTCAGCCACAGCTCAAGAAACCCCCAACAGCCTCTGGTAAAATCCTCGGTTCCATGGAAACTTGATTAAGGAACAGCTGCTTTAAAGAGAGAAATAGGCAGCCACTTCTGATCACCTTCTGAAAATGTTATCTACATAGCTGCCAGGATGATCTAATGGCTTTAGTGCTTTCTTAGGCACTGACCTAGTATACAGACAACAAATTCAGTGACTCACAGTGGATTAAAGCCTATGTTTAGCAATAACATCCTATATATTTTGCTCAGTTCAGGTCTATATTATGATTAGTGACTCAAAAAATGTAGTGAAAGCACAGCCAAATGCTGCTTGCATTGTTTTTCGTTCCCTTTAAACATCGATTCATTCAGGGCTTTTTTTTTTGTGCTTAGCTGTGATTTGGCCACAGCTAATCACATGACACAGCATGTGCATGTGATCGCTGTGACCATTCACAGCTAGACACACTTGTATACAATGGATGGCATGAAAGGAAGCCATCCATTGTATACAACTGTCATGTGATCTGCTGTGATTGGACACCATATGGCATCCACTCGGAGGGACGAGCTGTTTCGCCCGGCCGCCATCTGGCTAAAGGCCGGGCGGCAACTGGTTAAACCCAAAAGCAAACATTTATTATATTGCAGTTTACCAATTACTAGGTGTGATAGCAGAATTTGGTTAGTTTTTTGGGCATTTTTTTCTTTTTTTTTCATCTAGTTATCCTGCATTAAATTTCTAAACTGAGGTACGCCTGTATAAACATGTTATGTGACGTAAATTGCTTTATGCAACGTTTCTCTAACAAATTAATTTTTATTACCTACTAGATATATTTTTATAACATTTTAAAAGACAAGGATCTTCTACTTTTCTATTAATTGTGAAAATGTTGGTAAGGGCAAAAGCATATGTGTTTTTTCCTCTATTCATAGCTTCCGGTTAGTCCCTGGTTAACCTATCACAGTTATTATTCTCTGGAAAGGATTAGCAAGCCTCCTCTCATGAATGCTGTTGGCAGATGTTTTTAATTACACAAACCTTTCAGACAAATTAGCTGTCGCTATATCAATGTCCGCATTCAGCACAATACAAATAATCTTGTCCTGCTGAAAGATTTGGAAAGTCGCCATGACGCAACAGAGGTGTCTGTAAGGTGATATGTTCATATATATAGCACTGCACTACTATACCTGTACACGGAAAGGTAGGACACAAATGTAAAGAAATTAAAAAATACTTTATGGAAAAAAATTAGAACCTGGATCTATCAGCCAATCTTCTCTCTAGTAAGATCACCTTTCCACCAGCCTTTTTCTTTGTATGCTGGCCTTCCTCAAATAGCTGACAACCGCCTTAGAGTCCGACCAGTACATATAGGCTACAAAGCCATCTTTTCTTTAGTAGGCCCCACACCCTCTGCTTGTTCTAAACAGCCCATTTATCTTCCCGTAACTACCTCTATTTGTGAATCTCTCAGTTGCTAGGACAGACTCCAAACAGCTGGCTGGATGAAATGAGGATCTATTTACATGTGAATCATGCTTGTATTTTAGCTTCACAAAGGTGACATGAAGAGGAGGAATTAAAGCAGCTGCTTTACATTTTGTTCGTGCAGGAAAATAATTTGTAATGCGCCACTTCATAATTCTGCAGACAATGGGGGATATTTACTAAAACTGCATGGTGCAAAATCTTGTGCAACTCTGCATAGAAACCAATCAGCTTCCCGGTTTTGCCAAAGTATAAGTGAACAAGCAGAATAAGAAAACTGATTGGCTACCATACACGGCTGCACCAGATTCCCCCTTTTAGTAAACCCACCCTAAAATATACAGTGGATTCAAAAAGTCTACACACCCCTGTTAAAATGTCGGGTTCCTGTGATGTAAAAAGAAATGAGACAAAGATAAATAATTTCAGAACTTTTTCCACCTTTATTGTGACCTATAAACTGTACAACTCAATTGAAAAACAAACTGAAATCTTTTAGGGGGGAAGTAAACATAAAAAACTAAAAT